TGCGTGCGTGTGTGTGTGTGCTGGCTGGTAGAGGGATCAAACCTTTGACCTTGGTTTTATTGGCACGACACCCTAACCAACTGAGCTAACTAGACAGCCCAGCTTTATGGTTTTCAAAACACTCATAGAGGTGGTGCTACATTTAGTTGTCTTGTTTTAAATGGCAAAATTTTTAGTTATTGATTTTATATATTCCATTGCAATATTTTTCTTGGAAGTATGCTTCATCTACTGGTAAATTTAGTGGACTTTATTGCTATAAATTTTCTTACAGTATTTTTGTTGTAATGCCATGATAATATATAATGAGCTGACTTTGTTTTGACCAGTTATTTGTAGAATGTTCCTGTGGAGGTGGTTACAGTGAGAGGCAGAGAGAGAGAAGGTAGCCTTTTAAGATTACTAGTCCAAAGGTCCGCTCCTTTTTTGCTGCCACAGACAGACTGCTTCCTACAAATATGGATCTTTTGTGTTTGATTCCTTGTGTAGTTTCACCTACTCTGTTTTTCTAAACAAAATCAAGTACAGGAGTACAGGAAAGTTGTTGTTGGTGGTGTTGTTTCCTACCAGCATTGCTCATCCCAGTTCCCACACTCGTATATCAAAGAAGAGCAAAGTTCTATGCTATCTGACAGCTACCATTTCTGGGCTTCCCAAGACTCTATAATACTTGTTTTAACTTCCTCATCTGCAATTTTTGTCTGACTATAGCAGCTTCTGGCAGCTCCTAAATTACTTTGGAGTGCAGCAGTTATATTCTGATTTTACTAGGAATTTTTTTTAACTTTTTTGATATTGTTGCTGATTTTAGGAAGAAAAGAGAACTAATTCACTAGAAAATGTAAATTTAAATATTTTTGTGTCCTTTGTACAAGAAAATTAAATTCACATATATTGTTCTTAAATTTTAACATCAGTTTACACATTTTGTTCTAAGTAATCTTACATTTGGTGGCCCAAAATGTTGGGGAGGTAAGTACAGAGCCCAAACATTTATCTGATTAGAAATGAAAGACAAATTTTCTGGAGCTGAGACACCATGTAAAGGATCATGAAACAAACAAACAAAAAAAACACAATATATTTTACAGTTTTTGTTCTAATATAATATATATGTACATAGTATGGACATCTTACTAAAAACAGATAACTTTAAATTCAAGATCACACGTTTTCAAAAAGGAAATTTACACATTACATGTGTAATGAAATAACGCTGAGCATATTTAATTCAATGTTACATCTTTACAATTGCTCTGAACTTCTAAATAAACTTGAACTTGTTATCAGACCATATTATATCTACACAGTGGTTTGTAAAATTATATAACTTCTTCTTAAACTAAAGATACACAAAATCACTCTATATGCAGTTTTTCCTAATAAAATATTAAAATCATTAAACTGTCAAGTGCTATATTATAACCAAAATCATGTCCAAAAAAAGGAACTGAAATAAAGTCACTTAACCTCAGAATCTCCTCTATTTTTTTTTCCAACTCGTACATCTGAAATTTTGCCAATTACTGATGATTCAACTGTGCCCTTTCTTTCTCATCCATCTTCTCATCCTCATTCCTCCTGCTACTACCAAATCGGATTTTCATTATCTTTCACCTTGACTGTAGCTTTATACAAACATAGAAAGTTATTGTTAAAAGGAACCATGCAGTCATAATTAGGCTACTGAATGTCAGGTTTAGATTTAAATGCAGTTATTACTAGCCAATGGTTTAGAGCCACCAATACACTTGTCTGGCGGACAAAAAGTATACTGTCTGCTAGACCAAAAATATACTTATAGCCTCACTATCACTGTGGTAAAGAATCTATGTGGTGAGATTCAATCTGAATTCAATCAAGGAGCAGTCATTATCCAGAAAACCCAACGTTAGACAGCAGAACTGTGGAAATCAGTCTGTAGTTTAGAGTGAAGGTCTAGAGCATTATAGGCAAACTGATCTAAAATTAAGGTCAAAGTGGACCCAGTCCTATAGACTGTGTTAACATAATAGGAAAAGGAATTAGAGAAGTGGAACTTAGAGGCAAGTTTGTGTCTGTGGATCATCTCAATAGATACTATGTCCTGTGTTTCACAGGAAGCCAGATATTTGGGAAATAAACTGTTATATTATTTTATATAATTAAAGTTAAAATTAATATTTTGGAAATAAAGTTTAGAAGATAATTAATAAAAGAAAATCCTTTTATAAATAAAAATTAAGAGAAATAAGGTAGAAGTGCAATTACAACTAGGAATGACATTGATTTCTACCATAAGGACACACAGTTTTATTCATTATGGAAAGTTGTGAATAAGTTATAATAATAGCTAACATGTGTTAAGCATTTGTTTTATGCCAAGCACTATTCTAAGCATTTTCTCTCTGCCAAATCATTTAATCCTCTTAATGATCCTATGAGGCAAATTGTATTATTATTAAGACTTAAAATTAAGAAGACTAAAACAAAGCATTAAGTAACTTTTCAATCATAATCACTTGGAATACAAGAATCTTAGAAACTGTGTATATAACATTGTTACTATTACCTCATTTCAGTCAGATGAGACCCTCTACAGAACATTGTTCATATAGGAGGACTGTTCTATAAGAGAAACAAATGAAAAAAATCTACATTTTTCTTAGACCTGAATATAATGCACTATCTCTGCACAGTAGATTATTTGTAAAGATTGCCATAAGAAATCCTCCCATCCCTGTATGCATACCCCTTTGCAGATGACTTTGTCATTCCTCTAAGACAAAGTGTCGCTTATGCTCCCTTTGAATCTGGGATTGCCCTTTCAATTGCTTTGAGCAACATAATGGGTCAGGAATAACATTGTCTGACTTCCAAGCCTTGACTTTAAGAGGGCTAGAAGCCTATACATTCTCTTGGGAAAAGGCCACCTTGTGAACAAGCATGGTCTAGTCTCCTTGAAGATGAGACCCAATGTGAAGAGAGCGACTATATGGATAGAAAGAGAGGTCCAGTTTTCCCAACTGAGGCCTTACATAGGTCAATGAGCCCATCCTGGGCCAACCAGCCCTAACCAACCCAACACCAGATTCAATTGCATGGAAGAACAGTGGATACCATGTGTTGCAGAACTTTCCAATTCAGCCCAAAGCAAATTGCCTCTCCCACAGAAGCACGATAAATAAATGATGGCTGTTTCAAGCCCTTATTTTTGTGGTGGTTAGTTATGCAGCAATAGGTAATTGGCATGCTTTCAAATACAAAGATTCCTTAAAATATTGGTCAACCTAATTATTCTTCCTGATTGGTCATTTCATATACTTCTGCTTGCTGACAGCTTCTATTTAAAGTAAGTCTTCCTTGATATTGTTTTCATATCTTTATTATCTCATCTCTCACCCTCCACCTTTCAAGTCCTCTAGGCTTTACTCATTTGCAAAATGACTAGCTGATACCATATAATCTCTCTCTCTCTCTCTCTCTCTCTCTCTCTCTCTCTCTCTCTCTCTCTCGTGTGTGTGTGTGTGTGTGTGTGTGTGTGTGTGTATAATGCCTCTATTTTGTACTAGTCACTCTAGCTTCTCTCTTCAATTGTGTGTGTGAGGAGGAATGGGGGATGATTATTTAAACAGATATTTAATATTCACTGCCTAGAATTACTTTCTAAACTACCTTCCCTAAAGGCAAGTAGGTATCCTTTTGCATGCATTCATTTCTTTTCATATTTTATCAGAAAATAACATGAATTATGTCTCTTTCCTCTGTTACCCTGGGTCTTTTCCTGGGGCACAAGCCCTACTGAGTATAAACTGTCAACTTTTCATATATCATGAATATCTTTCAATACTGACAATTAGCTCCTACCTGTATAAATCATCAAGTGCTACCATTTATCCCCATAGCTAGCCTAAAAAATGTCTCCATTATACTAGGTTAAAGGTGTAAGACCTAGGGAAAAATAATCTTAAGGTGTGATTTGTCGGTGTTCAAGTTTTCTTAAGAAGGAGCTAAGTAAATATGTAGAGTCTGCCTACATCATACATGGCCAGGAAATCACAGTCAATTTTATGGGAGATTAAAAACAAACAAACAAACAAACAAACAAAAAAACTCCCATTTCTTTTCATTATTTTATTGATAAGCCTCTATTTAGGATCTAGGAATGGTGTGTTTTGCCCAGCAGTGCAACTGCAGTTTCTAGACAGAGTGAGAAACCAGTGTCCTATATTTATCCTAAATTCCTTTTAGATTCCTAATAACTATGCCCTAGATATTAATTTTGCTTTACATATGTTATATCTATATAATTAGGAAGAAGAACAAATCTCTATATGTTCTTTGATGTTAGGGATGTTAGACTAAATTAATATTTGACATCTTAGCAAGGAGTTCTAGAAAACTCAATCTAGAAGGTTTATATTTTCTTATGTTTGCCTACATATTTCAGTTTAATTGAGGAAGCAATTTTTAGTCTTTAATTAATTTGAACTGTAATTATTCAGCCTGAAGAAGTAAATACTAAAAGTCAATTTAATGAAGATTTTCAGCTACATAAGGAGCTCTCAAGAAGATGATAATGCCTATTTCCATTTAAAAACTGGATTTATATTATAGCACCAAAGATGAAAAAAATATTCCTGACTGTGAGAGTTAGTAAATTTTAGAAAATAGAAAGGTTGTAGAAATTCTTTCTACGAATGTGTTATCAAATCTTCTTCATACTTCTTGTTCTAGTTATGATTCTGTCTACACATGAATGTTACTTTTTTTTTTTTCTTAGTGGATTTATAAATTCATTTGGCAATCAGCAGTTAGCTCTCATCCACAATGCAGATTTTTGGAGGTGGTAACAGGTACATAGGTAAACAAAGCATAGAGCTTGTTTGTTGAATCTTCATCTTCATTACGTTTTCTAGACAACTGTACATGGATACAGTTGGGGACATTCCTTATTCCTTTGGCCAAGCCAACTTTGTTGAGCCTGGTATCAATGCAAACATCTGGAGTCCCCATCTCCTTCATGGAAAACTTCCGATCTCTCTGAGTGCCCAAGGGGCACACATCTTGAAACCCACTCCACGAATACACTTGGGAATGTTGATGGTGTACTCTTGGAACACCACCTCATTGATGGCGTATTCTCCAGTGACTACCTCCTTGATAGCAGAACAGCCCTTCTTCTTCTTGCCATCTTTCTTCAGAGAAATCATTCTGGGGGGCCCGAGTGAGAAAGGAAGAGCTGGAGGGACTGTAGAGGAAGGAAAGCAGTGACCTCATGTACAACTCCCAAGTTACCTGCAGGCGGGAGGAGGGGATGTCTGAATGTTACTCAAAATATAATGTTTCTTTTCCTATTTTGAATGATTCTGGGGCTAGAAATAACAATTAACGTGTTTAAATCTGTTCATACTGCAATGAACCATGTATTACTATTTGGTAATAAAAAGACAGTATTAAAAATTTTTGACATTTCCATGGTGTCGAAATTTGGAAGATATAAGAAAATCATTGAAATTGTCTATCACCAGGCAAATGCCACAGTGTTTAATTCAAATGGTAATTAAGACGTTAATAATGCTAAGTTAAATATAAAAGGGGGTTATAAAAAATAATGATGAGGGCTGGCCAGTTAGCTCAGTTGGTTAGAGTACAGCCTTGTAACAACAAGGACCAAGGTCATGGGTTCAGATTCCTGTACCCACCAGCAACCAAAAAAAAAATTAATTAGCAAATAAGAAAAAAAGTAATTATGAAAAATCTTATTTTTAGGCCATGACTACCCCTGAAAGAAAACAGAGCAACTGGGAAACAGGGAAAAGGTTCTGTATTCCTAAGTGGGGTAGAATCAATGTCATCATCTCCTGTTCTTATCGACAATCCCCTTGTGACTGTCCCCTAAAGGTTTTCCCACCTCTAAGCTTCCCTCCACACAGCTGAAGGAGTGACTCCTTTAAAATGCAAATCTGATCATCTCACTTCCCAACCTAGCTATCTAGCACCTCCTGTCACTGCCTCCTTTCTTTGTTCTCAGCTTGCACAATCGCTCCTCTCCTCTGGTCAGGAGAGGTCCCCTTGGGATGCTACCTCATAGCTCCCTACACTTCTGCTTTTTATCACTTTCCAAAATATTTCATTACACAATGTGTGATGCATTTAATATCTGTCTCCCACCAGCCCAGGAGCTCCTTGAGAGCAGGGACTATGTCTATTCTCTTCACCATCATATTTCAAGATCCGGCCCCCTGCCTGGCATAGAGGATGTTCTCCTGTACTCTGTTAGATGAATGAGTAAAATTGCCATGAATGATATTTCCTTCTCTCCTCCCTTATTCAGTCACTCAAGAAAATATTTAATGACGATTTTGCTTATGCCTTGTCCTAAGGCTACAATGGTCAAAAAGGATGTTAAATTTATTAATAATTATTTGTACGACTGTAAAGTTTCATAGTTCTTAAAGAAAAACCAAAAACATGTTTTCTTTCATAGAATTTAGTTTGTTCATGCTGGTGATTATTTTTTCCTAAATTCTCTTGATCTGAAGAGTAGCTTGCTCTTAGTTAAAACATCCAACTTTGCAAAAAGTGCATTTCAGGTGCAGATACACCTCACAAATCACAAAGAAGGAATCAGCAGTCCTTCAAGCAGTCCTTCAATCCCACAGATTACTCTAGGTTTATTTTCACATTGTTTCTCATTTCCATTATGACTATTATCAGATTGTGCCTTGAAACATTTTTATATCTTATCTCATTTTCTGTAAATAATTACCTAATACACATGAAATATAAAGTAACTACATTTATAGATAAGGTATGATTCTTACCTAAGCAACAATGAATAATTTAAGGTGTATACACACACACACACGTATACATTAGAGGTTGAATAGTAGTACCTAAAACAGTAATCCCTTCATTTATATTCTGTTATTTATCATATGTCACCTAACTAAAAACTGTTCAGTCATAAAATGATAGATTATTCAAATGTCTAGCCATAATAGTTGTAGTGAAAAGTCTTAACTGAGTATTTGATGAGTGTTCAATTAAGACCTCAACCCTTATATCTATTTGGGCACTGTCATTTTAAGTATCTACAAATTTATTCATCTTTATACATAAAACATATGTGCAATTTTAATAGTTGTATATGATACAAAATTTGAACATTTAAGGGATGTTACACCACATTAAGTTTAACCCTCATTTATGTCTTGGATGATAGATGCAAGAATTCCAACTGAGGCGATTTTATGAACCAGCTAAATGATTTGTATTCAGAACAGCATTAAAAATCCCCATGACAAAGTGTACTTGAACAAAAATACCCTGCTTGTGACACATCCTTTACAAGTAATGTGTTTTCATTTTTCACATGTTGCATCTCATTTATTTTATTCAGGCACACATACTTAAATCGGCAAGATACCGCAAGCTTCCAATACCTTTGAAATAATAAATCACTTCTTGCAGATGTTTTCACCCACTGCAAGGCTGCCGTTCATTAATCAAACATTATCAGTTTCTATCAGTGCCCAGTGTTAAACAGAAAAGGCACTTCATTTTGAGTTCTGACTTTCATTCACTGGTTAGTCCCTGACCCCACGGTACTTACTGCTTGCATTTTAGAAATGTGAAACCTCCTACAGTGTAATGGATTTTAGAGCAAAAAATCCTAAATGGTATTATATTTCCTGAATTCCATATTGCTTTATCCTGAGCTAAATCAAACTGTATTTCTAAAATTCCAAATAAGTGCAGTCATAATAGTCATTTTAAATTAGGTCCACAATAATAATAAATTTATAATGTAAGCTCCGTTTCTGTGAATATATCTAACACATCAAATTTCTAGAACACACTTGCAGGAATTTATTTCTAAAATGTACCTTAACCTATTAAAATCTTTTCAGAAGACAATGAGGGGCAATTTATCTACCTTTCGTAATTTTTATGACCACAAAAAGAAAATGCAACAAAGTTAGACAATTGTAAAATCTTTAAATTTTCTTCTTTTCTAAGAAAATATATTACATAAAATCGATCAACTTGTAACATAAGAAATCACAGATGATCTTACAGATCATGAGTCACTAGAGTTATCTTATAAACATACTTATAACCTAAAGAAAAGACAACTGATATAAACTGAATATCTTTACTGCCTTAAAAATAGCTCAAAAACATAGATACTGCAAAAGAGAATTTCAGCAATCATCCTCATTTTCTCTTAAAAAAAAAAGTCTCGTGTTATTCGTCCTCTTTGACTATCAAATCCTGAACCATAAGAACTCAAAGCCAACATTTGCTTTAAAATCTGACCTGACAATGAACTAATAAACTAGAGATTGCCATGCAATTGAACATAAAAGAAATGCTTTATAAATATTTAGTTTCATCATTATGAATCAATATCATTAGTGATTATTCATAAACCCTCTCCCATTAAGATATGGTGTAAAAGCTGTACAGATGGATATGGTACCCTTCCCAGAAAATTTATAATAAAAATTATGTGAATTTTTGCAAGAGAATTTTACAGATCAAGATCTGAGGGATTCAAAGTCAGTAACAACAGCTTCATGAAAATATGCTATGATTTTACTCAGGTCTCAACTAACCCTATAAATATTCATTTGAGGGGAGAAGGGAGAGGGACAGTGTTATTGTAGTTTTTGTATGGTGTCACTCCTGAGCATGGTAGGCCTTAGGCAGTATCCTGATGACAGCGATCAGGAAACTCAGATGCTTTTCCACTGCCTCTGGGATAAATATAAACTCTGTAAACTTCTTAACCTCTCATGTATGACCCGTAACACCTTAATTGTCTCCTACCCTCATGCCCTATCTGCTGTCATTTACTCTCTCATCCCCTCAACATGCATCCTTGGCATAGGCTACACCATATTTACCACAGTTTTCAAACTCACCCTGTTCTTTCGTCTTTGTGTTTGGTGGACACCGTCTTATCTTCCAATAATGACCTTGCTTCAACTTATCTGTCTAACAAACTCATATCCTGCCAGGTTAACAAACTCATATCCTTCTCTGCTCTCCCTTTGTATTTTCGTATAGTAATTTTTTTTTTCCTTAAAAAATGATGAGCTTCTCTCAAAAGAGAGTATGCCTAAATTCATTATGGAATCCCCAGTGACTAGCATAGTGCCTGGACAAATGATACTTGTTAAAAATATGAGAAATAATTAAATTAAAAATTGGAAAGGTTGAAAGTTGTCTTCAGCAGTCAGAATCCAATTTCTTAATTGTACCTTGATATTTTCTTGTCTTTGTATCTCATGAGACTAATGTCCCTCTTTACTTTCTTTTCCATTCTTTGTGCCTTCTCCTCTCATCTCTTTATAGGAAGGATATAAATACTTTTATACTAGTTTTTAAATGAGTCATAATGCTAAGATTTTATCCTTCCCAGATACACATACCTTTAAATAAGGACAAGCATATGGTATTGTCCCTATGCTAAATAATAAGCCTTTAATTATGAAACTGTAGGTATGGGCCGGAAACTGTTTGAGGAGCGATATCAGAATAAGGCCTCTACTTAAGTCTAAACTAATGTCTAACAGTGATCAATATTGTGCTGGTGCTCTCCATATATGTATACAATAACTTATCAAGGTGTCATCTACAGTTTACAATCCCCATCTTATCTTAGCTAACCCAATAGCCTCAAAAATTAATGGGATAAGTAGAGATGTCATTCACAGATTTCTGTAGGGCCAAATAGGTTACAGAATATGTAGCTATAATATATACTCTTCTGCTTCCACAATGCATTTGAGATAATATAATATAATAGAGGGATAATTACAGTGATTGAGCACTAAAATTAACCCTGAGCTTCCTGAAAATTGAATCAAAATGAAATTATTATAAATTACATAGATATCAATATCTGATGAAAGAAAGTTTCCAGACTCATCAGGAGAGGCAAGCTATTTTCCTATCACAAAACTCTTTATGGAATTTTATGATACCAACCAATATAAAACAATTTATTGAACAATGTTCAATAACAAATCTGCAAAATGTATTAGATTTATGTGGCCCTCTAATATGCAGAAAAGTCCAGGGAATTTTAATAAAATAACTTAACAAACTTAATATATATATATTTTTTTTTTTCAGGATTATGTGAGATATCTTATTATTTATAACCTTTCCGTATAGAATCTCTAATATGTATGATTTGACAAAAAGAGCAATGAAGTGGTCCACACAATGAAGTAT